ACATACACTTTCAGAATTAATGGTTATAGCGCTAAACACCCCGAAAAATGTAATATTACGCTTTCTGGTTTTGTAGCGCTCTTTGGCTTTGTCGGTTGCGATTTTTGTCATAGAAGTGGTTGTGTCGGTGGCGCTTTTTGTTCTTGTCTTCGTTTTGTCGGTGACGCTTTTGTTCTTATCTCAGCTTTGTCGGTGGCGATTTTATAGCTGTCTTCTCTGTGTCGGTTGTGCGATCTGCTTCTGTCAAGACTTAAGAGGCTCTGCTAGGGTGGTTTCTGGTTCTGTCAGGACTTTTAAGGAGCTCTGCTAGGGTGGTTTAGGGTGGGTCGCTTCTGCTGGCCCTTTGGCTGGAAGCTTCGTCCCGTGAGCCGAGCTCCTGGAGCTCGCTGGTGCCCCCCCCTGCCTTGCTTTGCTGCAATTGTGTGCACCCTTGATTGACTCGTATTGTGGCATGCAAGGATCTTACAAGCATTTGCTGCAGTGTTTGTGTTCTCGAAGGCCTCTGTCGTGTCTTTTCGCTTTGATCTTTTAGGGTCATGGCTGCCAGCATGCTGGCCAGATGCTCAGCAAGTAGCATCTCGAAGGCACATCGCGAAGGACTTCGGTCATTCTTTTGATTGGCATTGGGCTATCAATATCAGTGCATTTCCTTTTGCATCTTGGGAAGGACTCCTACGACTCCCGGATGCTTTTTGGAATGCCTCGGCTACAGCCATTTATGCTGACAACCAGGTTCGACACTCCCTGCACAAGTGCAAATCGCCATGACCATATACACATCATACTTGATGTTTCAGCTGACACAGGATATGCCAAGTCCGGACCGAATGCTGTCAGACATCGTCGCAAATGTTAAGAGCGATGGCATCTGCAAGCATTTCGTTGAGTTGTTCCAGTCGAGTTCAGGCGGGGGGAGGCTGTATATTAAAATCCCTTAGCCCTACATTGTAAATCCCAAATGACCACCCCCACTACTCAACCCGAGACCCCAATCCCTGGGCAATGCCAGCTTTTGTGCGATTCGGCTTTGCAGGTGCCGAGGCGATCTTGATCGGCAAGCCTTCCGGGTGATGGATGCTTCTCGAAGTATGGATGGGGTGCAAGGACACTTGTGGTCGGAAAGTTTTAGACGGGCGGCTGCACGGATCTTGCAAAGGGGGGCAAAATAGTTTGGCTTTGCAAAACTCATGATTCCTCGCATCTTGCTGCAACTGTCGATCATCAATATATGTGTGTGTGCCTCGCAGGTGACCTGACATGCCATGTTTCTTTGAAGGCCGGGTAGTCGGCACAGAAGTTAATTTGTGTTAAGCTATCAATCGAACCTCCTCGCTGGCAGGCCGTGGAGCCGCATCGGTGATTTCCAGGCACCTTAACTTTCGAAAGAGCAGCTCCAGTTCACTGCACACAACACATGATGCAGGTGCCTCCTGTTTTGTGGCCTGGTGTTCAATTTGCTGGGAACTAAGCCTCCAATCAATTAAGCTACATCGTAACTACAATCCCATGCCCAGGTCTGACGGGTCGATCGAGATTTTGGGTCGCAGAGGCTGGGGCACATAGTCTAGCAAGCGAGTATTTGGTTGCACATTAGCTAGATTGCTGCAGGTTTGGATACCAAGTCTTCGGATGTGCGACAGACCCTCCGCTCGGCGCTAAGTGTGGTGCAGATTTATGAGGCAACCGTTCGTTCACTTTTGTTGCCAGCATGCAACATTGACTTCCTACGCAGGCCGGGGGATCACAGGTTTAGGAGCTAGGGCTTTTTACGCCATGGCTGATGCTGATGCTGGGGCTGGGTATGGTGAGGTTGTTGAAGGGCGGCCACTCAGATTGAGGCGACAGCCTCGAGAGACGTGGCCCGAGAAACATGCTTTCGCGAAGCAGCTGGAGGCTGATGTTTATGTTCGAGACAGCTTTCGGACGAACAAATCGCAGCTGCTGCAATGGACGAGTCCCCAAACTGTGGGGGTTGCATCCCTCAAGGCCCTTGCACTCAACGTCCAGGTGATCCAGATATCCCTACGGGTATGGGGTTCCGTTTCGGCACTTCCGAAAGCAATGACCATTGATTGGTTGAAGGAGGAGGCTATCGGATTCGGGGAACCAAGATATGTTCTTAAGACTTAAATCATTATACATGATTTATCCAAATCTATACTAACCCTAAACCCTAAACC